ATGCATTAAATATATTTTTTTAAATTATGTAAAGTTAAACTTATTTAATTAAGGATAGTTGAGTTGATTGCAATATTGCATACACTAATGATATAAACTAAAAGGACAATAAATTAATATTCCACATTTTTTTAAACTCCTTTTGAAGTAATTTAACTTTTACCCTTTACTTCCAGATGAACTAGGAACAACAGAGCAATGCATTGCTTTTTGTGAAGACAGAGGCCTCATTAAGTCTTCAAAGAATTGTAGACATCACTATAGTTCAAAATGGTTTTAAAGTCAAAGGGTCCACTTGGTATATTTGTCTACAAAAGAACTCTGGTTTCTGGTTTGAAAATATCAAAAAACCTCTTCCAACCATCTTTAGATTAATGTACTTTTAGTCCCGGGTGACTATGACTATTTTCAAACTCGTTTAAAATGTAGCTCCAAAGCTCGTGATGTAACAGTCTCTGAATCCACCATCTGTAATTGGTACAATAAGTGTATAGACACTGTTGTTGTCCACCAACTAAACAACCAAGCAGGACCGTTGTTGAAATTGAGAAAAGCATATTTCGAAGATGCAAATACTATAAAGGACATTCTGTTGAAGGCCATTGGGTACTTGCCATGGTGGACGATGTGATGCCATGACGACGAAACAAATGAATTTAAGGTGGAAGTGTGTCCCAATAATAAAAAATCTGCAGAAATACTGAACTTTTTATTAAAAAAATATATAGCTGGAGGATGGATTATCCATACAGATAGTAGGTATCCTTTTGATTCACTGTCGAGCCATGGTTATGTACATAAAAAGGTAAATAATAGTAATAATGATAATAGCATATTCAACTAGCAAGGGAAGAGCCAATGTCAAAACTTAAAGAAAATTTTGAAGATTGGATATTTGAATACATATAAAAGAGTAAGACATAAAAGGTAAGACATAAAACATAATCATTTAGATGCATTTGAAGAACTGATAAGTTTAATAAAGTATGTCTACAAAAATTATTTAGGTTAGGCCTTTAATGCTGAAAAAATCATAGAATAATATTTTGTGTCATTGACCACATTGAAGAGGCTGGCCAACAATTATGTATTGTAGTTACTAGAGAGCGGGGCTGCTGGATCTGTGGAATAGACAGATGTTTGTAAAAGATATTTAAAAGACTACATATCGGGTTGATCGTTTGAGTATTGTTTTGTTTGCTGAAATACTGCATATTGCTCTTTGCTCTACCATAAATGAAACAGGTTATAGACTTAAGTGATTGAATTATTACTGATGAAAAGTATTTTGAACAGGCATAAAAAATATTTTTATCTTTGGCAATTTTTTTCATAATCTTTTCTGCCCCAGTGAAAAAAAACTACAAGTTTTCAAAATAAAAGCAAAGCAATATCAGATCATTACCTGAACTGATTTATGTGTTTAATAAAGACATTTGTTATTCTCGTAGGTTATATATATATAGGTTATTTTACATCAGTTTTGGTTTGAGGATGAGTGAAGAATATGTGATAAGCAATTTTTCAATAAATGTAATGGCAAATTGTAGTTATCTATGCTATAGGTCTATATATTTTTACTTGTTTTGGTCGTAATCCCTTCTTTATTAGTTAGATTTTATGATTTTTTAAAAATCGTAAGTCGCAGTGTTAACCTTTTTTAAGATTTAAAGAGAGAAGACTTTTATTTTTAATCTTAATAGAAGTGACTGAGATAATCGGACTTCTTTAGTTTTTGAAATAAATAAATAACATAAAATACATCATTGGACATGGTTGAAACTGTGTTAAAAGTAGCCATAATACCTCTTTGTAGAAAATGTAATCTATACCCGTGTTGTTACACAATCCAGTCTTGCTTATTTTTTGCTCGTCTAATCGTGCTTCGAGAAATTGAGATTGAGGCGGGATTACAACCAAAGGCTGCGGATAAAAGAACGATTAGCCGCATTGCTTCTCGATCAGTTATTTTGTTACGATCCAGAGCACTAGTAACGAGTTTTGTGAATAAGCCACTAGTTGACGGTACGATATCACTGGAATTTGAAGAAGAGCTCTTCAGCTCGTTTTTTTTTTTTATACGGAAACAACATAATCCTTTTCCTGCTTTCCTTGCAAAGAACTAGAGTGCTACTGAAACTGCAATCGAGTTCTAATTCTTGACTTGACACTACCGACGATGAAGCATTACTTTTAGCAGCCTTTTCTCTCAATATCTCCGCTCTTTCTTTACGTTTCAAAGTACGTTCTATAGTCTTTTCCAGCTTTTTATCGATAGAGGTCCTCTTTGATCATCGAGAAACTCTTTATCTACAGCAATTTTTATTAAACTCATTGCGTTTGCATGAGCAATATCAAATAATTTGTCCAATTCTTCAGTAAACGAACGTTCTCTATTTTTCTGTGCTTCCGAATCCCTTGTTCTATTTTTCTTTAAAAGCAGCCAGTTTTTGTGAATTTTTATAAGTTGATTTGATTTTCTTGTCGGAATCCTGGCTTTGTTCCATACTTCAACAACTTCTTCAATAAGAGCGTGCGCAGAATTTTTTACATTTTTATGTTCATTTAATAAGTGGTGATAACGAAGCAAAACTTGCCGTAGAGTAGGAAGTTGTTCGAGTCTTTATAAAGGCTCCAGATCTCGACAACCCAGAAGAAAAATATCGTCTTGTTGTCGAGTCGTTGAACACATTTTGTCACTAAGTCATGTCACAAAACACTGCTTTATAGTCTCTATTATAGTTTTAAACACTTAAACAGTCGTATATTCAATTAATTCGCTTAGTTTAATACACTAATTTGACCTGTAACAATGAAAGTAAAATTTGCACTTTTCACAAAAAAATTTAAAGTATAACTGGTTTGAGCACCCAGTTCTAATAGAGCTACCTAGTTCAAATTTTAGCGCGTTATTACTACGGATACTATGTAACAAATTTAGGCGAAACTGAAAACTAAAAAAAAAATTTTTTTTTGACCACCCTAGTGGCCATATTAGGAATCCATTTTCCAATATAGTTGATAAGCCCTAAAAGCTCTGTAATTCCGAAATGTTGATGGGGGTACTAAAATTTTTTACAGCTTTATATTTATCTAGCGGTCGGATTCCTTGATCTGACAACTCATGTCCTAGAAATTGAATTTTAGTTGTTCCATAAATGCATTTATCTCGTCTTAACATGATAATTATATCATTTGACCTAAATATTTCTAATACTTTTTGTAACCGTTTAGCGCGTTCTTGTTTGTCCTTGCCATACCCCAAAATGTCATCAATGAATTTGACTACCACTTCACATTCGATCAGCACCCTTTCAAGTGTTTTCTGAAACATTTTGGGCGCATAGGTAATTCCATACATAGCCGCTTGAACCGATATTATCCTTTATAAGCCTACCAGAATCTCAGGGCGAATAGGGAAATTAAAATATGATGTATGCCACGCCAAGGGAATTTGAGTAAATGATCTTGATACTTATAATATTATTCATTATTTAAATTGTAATAGGAACATGAAAATTTTGATTTTGTACGTACGTACACTAGCTTTAACCGATTTGGAGTTGGTAGGCTAAACTTCGATTGATTAACACTATTAATTGATGTAAACTGTTGAATAATATGTAGTTTTTGAGTTTACCCATTAAAAACTACCAAATAAACAAACAAATTTATTCTCTTTATATTATAAATATAAATAATATATGTTCATAATAATAATACAAACATACATATGTGTAGTATAAAATCAAAATCCGCCAGATCCAGAAAGATGAATTTTAAATAATAACCTTTTTGAAAATAATCCGAAATTAACTTGATGACTATTTTTGCCGTGGCATTTGTGAATCCGAACAACGGTTGCGTGACCGAAGTACTCTTCCCTGTGTATAGTATTAAATCTAAAACGTAACCGCTAACCGCCTCGCAAAGTTCATAAGTTTTAATTCCGAACCGTGCTGCTTTGGTCCGGATACACTGAACCCAACTTAAGTGTCCTTTCCAAAGCAGCAGAGACTCGTCATTAGACAGTTCTTTGCGAGGCGAGTAAGCGGTTTTAAATTTGTTACATAAATATTCAACTATAGGCTGAATTTTTGCAATCTTTTTATCTTGGCCCGTTGAAAGAATGGTCCTGTTGTCAACGAAGTGTAAAAATTTCATTAACAACAGGAACCGATTCTTGGACATCAGTTTCCGGAAGTCCGGCATTCCCATAATGCCACGGGAAAAATATTCGTCTATTCGTCCCCGCAGACAAAGTCCCATCAGAATCATTATAGTTCGGCCGTTCAGAGAATGCGTTCCTGACACCTATCAGTTAGTCACGACTAGTGATGGGTACAACATAACACTGAGTTCGTTGCCGTTCCTCCAAAATGAACCGCCGCGATGTTTTTAAGATTATTTTCGTTTTAAATTGGCGGAATCATTTAAAATTTTTATTTTAATTATTTAAGTGGAAACCAAAAAAGGGTAATATTAATATAATAAAATTGTTTTATTTATTCTTTGTAACAAAGTTACAATCTGTATTTCTATGCAATAAAGTACATTGAATTGAATGTGCGTACAGAATATTAATCAGACTCCGATTCGCTTGAGGAGGTGGTGTCTTCATCATCATCTTCGCCTACATGTATAATTATATTATTATCAATAACAGAATCAATCCTGATATCTCGGTCAAAATGTTCCACAATCAGATTTTTAGTCTTCTCAACAACCTTTGCCCAGTCATCTCTTGTGACTTTCCCGCAGGCTTCTTTTAATAGGGTCATCATCTTTTTCGTGCTGAATGGCGGGGAATTATTGTGGCGGGCGGCGTAACCTTTTACTTGAGCCCAGATTAGCTCAATCGCATTATATTGGCAATGATACGGTGGAATTCTTAGAACGCGATGACCAGAGCCAGTTCATCGATTTCGTATCGCACATTTGCCGCTTTATTTTCTTTAACTAATTTAATTAGCTCTGCTTTTAGCATCTGCATATTTGCGTCAATGCCTTTTGCTTGTAACCAAGCCACCATTTCTTCTTTTTTATTAGCTTGGGTAGGTGGTTTCTGTATTTGAACCGAGTGATAGGAGGCATTATCCATGAATATTACAGAAGGCTCTGGTAGGCTGGGCAAAAGCACGTTCTGGAACCACTCTTTAAATGTAGTGGCATTAATTTCCTCGTGGTAGTCATTTGTGGTTTTTGATTGAAATGCCAGTAACGCGTTCTCCACAAAGCCGTATTTTGCAGAACCTGCATGGCATATTATCAGACGGGCCACCTTACCCATTGGTACTTTCGACGTCGACGCTTGTGTATCATCCGTTCAAGAACGGGAAACCGTGTGGTTGGCGTTTAGCCATGTCTCGTCAGTGAACACGACATTATCCCAGTTATCAATTTTTTTTGCTTCTCTCAAAAAACTTATCCGTTTTAAAATTATGTCGTATCGTTCTAATAAAATTTTTCTTTTGTCTGTTTTTTTATACGAAAAACCAATATCTTTTAAGATTTCGCTAAACAGTCCAGCTTCTCTTAACGATGCCAAAAGCTTCTTCCTGTTGAGATATTTATTTCTGGAATAGTAACCATATATATGATTTCTGATTGCATCGGCGTCAAAGGTGTCAATATCTGTCACGGGTTTAGTTCTACGTTTCTTCTTCGGAGTACGTAAAATATTATCTTCCATGCCAGTAGAGCCGAACTTTTCTTTATTAGTATTTGTTATCGTTCGTTTGCTAACTCCAAGCGCCTGAGAGACGCGTTCTTGTACTTGTTCGACAGGTACCAGGGGTCCGCCATTTTGCCGCTCCCGCTCAAAGTAATCTTGCAGCTTGATGATTAACTCACGGGCTCCACTTTTCAATGTTTGTCCACGTTTAGGCATTATTATGCACCAAAAGTCACAAAAACACAATCGAAGTCCAATTTAGCGCCGATGTCCGTTTGAACAGCAGAAACAGTCTATTAAACGAAAGCCGGGTAATCAAATAAAAACAGATCGAAAACACTTGAAGAACGTGGTCTATGCGCACGAAACGACAACAGACGATTGTTTTAGCGTCACAAAATGGCGGCCCATAACGCCATTTGGGGTTACCATTTTCAACCTAAATATAAAAATGCTACTTTCTTTCGCGCGTTCGGTTTGGTCGTAGTTTTATTTTTATATTTAATAAAAGTTATCTTATAGTCCATTATTTTCAAATTCTTAAAAAGAAAACCAATACATATTATTTTATAAAGTATAACTGTTTAAGAACAGATTACGATACTATTATTGCCTGTTATTGTTAGCACAGCACTACAAATATAAAGCGCAGACAAAACCTTGTAATAGCGCAGTTTAGATTTAAAAAAATATTGTTTACCGAGTTATTTGACACTCAGTTTGGCACAAAATTATAACATTAATTGATTATTGATATAATAATGTTGTTTTAATGCTCATCAATTGTTAAAACGGTAAACAACCAGCAATAATATTTTTATCGTAACTGCAACGCCATTACAAAGTTACGTCGTCAGTTCAATCGCGACGTGTCAGGAACGCATTCTCTGAACGGCCGAACTATACCGCAAAAAGTCTATATATTTCGCCCACGCATGTTTCCTCCCACGCATGGACGCGGGATTGAGGCGGAAGAGAAGCCGTTTCATTGGCTGCCGCAATAAATTCCCACTCGTATTAATTCGTCTCGGTGACGATGTCTTCGACGATTGGCTGATCAAAGAATTGAATGAAAAATGCTGATGGCGTTGCCCCCTCAATCCTGGGACCAGGTTGGCACTGGAATTGTTCTGGTATGCCAGTGAATGTGGAATAATCAGCGGACCATTGGAAATTTTCGTCCGGTCGCGCATCCACATTTACTATTTCGTCGTCCTCATCGTCACCGAAGAGTTCTTCAAATGCCATATCTTCGTAGGTCTCCGCGTCCTCATCCTCTTCGCTGCCAGAGTCAGCGTTGGCATGTGGCACGACATCCTCAAAATCGTATCTAACCTAAGAGAAAATGCCACAGTCAACCAAAACAATTAATAATTATTATAATTTTAAGCATTAGTTAGGCAGAGTTACGTAAACCTGTAGCATAAATAATACAATATACCAAATTTTCAGAACAGAACTACCTATTATTTAATTTACAAAGACTTCCGCTTGCTTCGTATTTCGTATACTGTACTCTATGCTTCGTCCGTTCGACTAGCTACGCTATAGGTACGTATGTATTACGTCATGCTGTAAAACGTACGGGTGTATTGATAACGCGGCCACTACGCGTAGTTCTCGGCTTTACTGGAAGTGACCTCGTTATCTAAACTAGAATCGTTACTCTTATTAAAATTCGAACTATAACTAAAATCTTTATCACTATTTATAAAAAATGCTGGTTTTAATCTTTCTATTGAAATAGTTTTCGTCTTATCTCCTATTTTAATATCAAAAGTTTTGCCTTTCGGACTTACAACGTCGTAAGGGCCATCATAAGGAGGTTGCAAAGATTTACGAAATACGTCATTTCTTATGAATACACTCTTACAACTATTTAATTCGCTAGGCAGAAATAACGAACGTGAATTACCATGACTTGACGGTTTAGGTCTAAGACTAGGACGGTTTAGGAATGGAATCGCGAAGATTTTGTAAATATTCCGAATCCGAGCAATTTAATTTGGAATCTTCATAAAAAATCACCTGGCAAACGAATTGTTTTACCATAAGTTAACTCTGCTGCACTAACGCCACTGTCACTGCGGGTTGCGGCTCGTAAGCCTAACAACACGACTGGAAGCTCGGTTACCCAGTTACTATTGCAGTTTAAACGTGCCGTAAGTGACACTTTTAGTGCTCGATGCCATCGCTCAACCATGCCGTTACTCTGCGGATGATAAGGTGTTGTTCGCATTTTAAAAATACCTAGGTACTTCATTAGCTGACTGAAAAGATCACTCTCAAATTGTCTACCCTGGTCGCTAGTAAGCTTCGAAGGGCATCCAAATCGAGATATCCAGCCTTCGAATACTACCTTGGCTGCTGTTTCAGCTGTAACATTGTGAACTGGAAAAGCTTCCGGCCATCCGGTACAACGATCTATCATTGTTACGCAGTATCTATGTTCATCTGCCGATGTAGGCAACGGGCCTACAATATTTATATGAACATGTTGGAAACGGTCTGCACGTTCAAACTCTCCTAATCCTGCTATCGTATGCCTATTAATTTTTGATCTCTGGCAACTAAAACAGGTTCTAGTCCAACTCGCTATATCCTTAAGCATATTAGGCCAAAAGAAACGTTGTTTAATTAAAGTTCTGGTAGTCTTAACACCGGGGTGACTTAAATCCTGAACCGAATGAAAAGCAATTTTCCTGAATTTATCTGGTAAATATGGTCTAATTCTGTTAGATGAAATTTTGCAATAAATATATTTTTCGCAGTCTGGCAATAATATTTGTTTAAATTGTAATTTTCTATCTGTTGCTTGCAACGTTTGCTGTAGGTATTCGTCACTAAGTTGTTGCTCAGCTATTTCTCTAAAATCGAGTAATGTAGGACAACTGATCGTTTCTATTCGCGAAAGTGTATCTGCGACTACATTTTGCTCACCGCTGATATGACGAATATCGGTGGTAAACTCGCTAATGTAAGATAATTGACGAATTCTTCTAGGGCTTTCTTTGTCGTTATTTAATTTTGAAAATGCAAAAACGAGAGGCTTATGGTTAGTATAAATAGTCAGTACACGGCCTTTCACTAAATTTTTTAAATATTTGATAGCCATAAATACTGCTAACAATTCCCTATCATAAGTAGAATATTTCGTTTCAGCTTGTGAAAGTTTTTTTGAAAAATACCCTAATGGTTACCAATTGTTGTTATTTTTCTGTTGTAATACAGCACCTACACTAGTATCCGAGGCATCGGTCATCAGCGCTAAATTAGCATCTGGTAAAGGATAAGACAGTGTAGCGGCGCTTTGCAAGCTTTCCTTACACATCTTAAATGCTTCGACAGCCTTATCAGTCCACACAATTAAAGTTTTATCGCGTTTTTTTGTATTGTGCAAATATTTATTCAATTCGAATTGATATTGAACAGCGTTTGGAATGTGTGCACGATAAAAATTTAACAAACCGAGAAAACGGCGTAGTTGATCGACTGTCTCGGGTTTCGGGAAATTTACAATAGCCTGTACTTTATCTTGAAGTGGTCGCGCACCCTCCGTAGACACTTCAAATCCTAAAAACTCAAGTGTTGACTGACCAAAAACACATTTAGATAGATTAATAGTAATTCCATATTTATCAAATCTTTCGAAAACTGCCTTTAAATGCTCTTTGTGTTGACTTTCATTTTCGCTCGCGATAATAAGGTCATCGATATAACTGAATAAAAAGTCTAACCCTTGTAGTACTACGGTATCCATGAAACGCTGGAATGTTTGAGCTGCGTTACGTAATCCGAAGATCATGCGCGGAAATTCAAACAGTCCAAAGGGCGTTATAATGGCAGTTTTTTCAATATCCTCCGGGGCAACCGGTACGAAATGATAAGAACGAATTAAATCTAACCGCGTAAAAATAGTTTTATTTCCCGCTAATAAATATTTAAAATCATGCAGTCTCGGAATCGGATAGCGATCCGGTTTTGTTATGGCATTTAATTTTCTGTAATCACCGCAAGGCCGAATATCACCATTTTTCTTTGGTACCACATGTAATGGACTGGCCCATTCGCTTTTAGATGGCCAACAAATGCCTAATTCCAACATGTAGCACTCCTCCTTAACTTTGTTTTCCTAGGTTTCAGTATGCAAACTTTTTGTTTTTGAAATTCAACATCATTTCATTTTATTATTCGTCTTTCGTAATTTAAAATTTTGACTAATCAATTATACTCTTTATGGATGTCAGTTCGTAAAAAATTCTTCTATGCACAACATGAAAATTATTATACAATATTAATGGTATAAATTTTATAATGTAATTTTAAAATAATTCATTGATTGTGATAAAGAATGTGATATTGTGATACAAATTATATAATATATGAACTAAATTGTAATCTGTATTTTGGACGATCCAAGAGTTTAACTAGAAGCCCGACAAGGGGTATGTATTCGTTTATTTGATAAGTATGTATTAGTTAAGTAACTTACGAACTGTTTTTTTAAATTTATTTTTGTTTGTTACAGTTTCTTATTTACCCCTTTACAATTAATAAATCTATACTCAAGCTAATCAGCCTTATTAATTGACCCAAGCACCGAACCCGTCACAACGGTCAGGCGGAAGAGGTCTGGCGTATACCGGTGGGCCCGTAGTTTCTATATAATGACACACCGAGTGTTTAGGTGTCTCTTAGTAAGATACTAATTTCGTTATGTCCGGGTAACAAAGCAATAAATCATGCCAATTACTATTACTTAAAACAGTTTTAATAGATAATTCACATTTGTTATGACTTACAACAGAGGCGAGAACATTTAAATGTGTAATTTGATCTACTAACTTGCGCGCGCTCATGTCGACTAACAGCTGATAATGGCTTAAAAAATACGCTCCTATTATCGGCTGTTTAACATTCGCTACGATAAAATTCGATTTAAATGCTCTCCTTAAATTAAAATCTAAAATTAAAGTACGCATACCATAAGTTTTTATCTCGGTTCCGTTAGCTGCATATAGTTTGTATTTATCACTCGCACTGTAATCGGAAACGCACTTTTTCAATGCCGGAATAACCGAAACGTTCGCACCTGTGTCAATTAAGAATTTCAGTCCACTTTTTTGTCTTTAACACATAGGCGGTTATTCGATAACCCGATACCAACCTCCGCCTCCGGCCGTATCGCACTTAGTTTTCCGCTGGCTCTTGTGGCT